TGATTATATGTATTACATTAATTGTATGTATGCATGACTAAAGATTTTGATATGCTTTGTATATGCTATGGAAGAACATGAAATAAGTTATTATAAAGACATAAAGAATGAAGTGAACATGTGATATAAGCTATATGTTAATGAATCATTGATATATATATATGTGTGTGTGTGTGTGTGTGTGTGTGTGTGTGTGTGTGTGTGTGTGTGTGTGTGTGTGTGTGTGAACAAAAGATAACCAAGTATAAGTCATATTATATGGTATAAGTGATTACATGAGAAAGGTTAAGAGACTCTATGAGGATAGTATAAATTTGAGGGCATAAACATAAGTAATGATACATAAGTTATATAGGGAAGAGTTATATACTTAAAGGAAACTACGGGTTATAAGTTATAAAGTGGAGAATTACAAAACTTTATGAAAGAGTATTATAGAAGTCATGGAAATTGAACTAAATAAATAGATAAAACTAGTATATAGATGATTTATGTGAGTGAAAGGGGAAGTGGGATAAGATAAGTAGAAACTATGTATAGGATAGAATGAGACTATTTGAACTGGTAGTATAAACTTTATAAAGGAAGACTTAGATAAACTCAGTATATGATACAATTATAGAGCATTACTATACAAATTATATTAAAGAGTATATATATGAGTATATGAGTAAGTTTATAGGTTAATGATAGGACATATAAGATTATATAAATGTATGATAATATGGAAAGTGAACTAATTTTAATGATGTTGAACCCTATGAGTAGAAGTTATGTTATTATAAGTAACATGATTACATGGTCACAAGATATGATACGTGACACGAGATATATGAAAGAGAAAGTATATGTCATATGAAATATTATATGACTATGTGATTATATGAAAAAGAATACAATTATATGTGATAAGCTCTGTGATATATGAATCATATGAAAATGTTTTACGTGTAAGTGAACCATGTGTTTATATGTATATGTGATATGTGATATATGATTTATATGATAATGAGCTATGTGAAAGAACTATGTGACTATGTGTATATGTGAATGTATGCTAACATAAATATTAATGCCCATGTTATGTGACATTAGAGCTAGAGGTATAGTTGGCATGCCAAGAGTCGAGGGTCTACGCGATCCTTCGGTGCATTTCTACGTGGCACTTCGGTGCATTTATACGAGCTTTGGTGACAGCATTAGTGCACAACCTCTATATACTCACATATCTATAGTTCTCACATGTGTACATAGGCTAATAAAGAGATAATTGTGAAAACAATGTATGTAATATGTGTGATATGGGTGATTGCATCTGTTACATGATATACATGAATATATGTTGATGTATATGTGAATGAGTATAAATGACTTAGATGATGATATAAGAATTTGCTATAAGATATAAAATATGAACGTAAGAGATCATATGAACAAGAAATAAGAGATATGAAGTATAATGGTATAAGAGTATGATAAAAATATAAATGATGACATGTATGTGCACAAGTATGTTATTGTTATATGGAAAAAGTATATGAGTTGTATGATTTGATAATATAAAACAGTCATGCATGATTAGTGGATATGAATTTCATTAGATGTGTTTTTTTATGCCTCACTAAGTCATTTACTTAGCGTGTGAGTGTTTCACACGCAGGTTACAGAAAGTGAATATAGAAGCTGAGAGGAGCAAGACATGTCAGTTCTCCTTACCGAAGGTCATATCAGAAGAAAGGTGAATAATATGTATTTTAATATATAAAGTTCTAGTTGGCATGTATTCAAATAATATATTGTATAAGCTTTGAATAGTTCTGTAAATGTTTTGAATAAGTTATATGTTATAAAAATTTTAAATTACTCACTATTTTATACAAGTAAATATTTTTGAAAAGTTAATGTGACACCTCAGACTTGGATCCGAGTCGGATACGGGTTGGGGGTGTTACAGAACATATAAAAATTTGAGAAAAAAGAAATACAAGAAATTTAAATTAAAGAATTATATTAGAAGGAATTAAAAAAATACGAGTATCAAATCGAAGTTAATTGAATGCTACAAGGAGAAAAATCAAAAGTTAGGGGGTTAAATTGCAAAAAATATAAAAAATAAATAGGGATTAAATCGAATTAATTCAAAATTATAGGGTAAATTTACAATATGTGACCAAAGTGAACTGCACATCAAAATATTAGGGACTATGGAAATAATTAAATTATTTGTTATTTACAAACTATTCCCCCTATAAATAGCCCAAAATTAAAAAAAAACATTTATCCCCTCATTTAATAAAAAAAACTCTCCTCACCTCTCAAAAACCTCTCAACTCTTCCTAACTAGCCACCCCTCCGGTCCTAGACAACCGCCGCTACCTCACCACTCTGGCAATCGCCCTCGGTGGCCGGAAGACCTAAAACCACCCTAAACGCTTCCCCTTCACGTCCCTAACTCGAAACCGACCCAAAACGTTAGAAAAATACCCCTATCAAAGTAGATCTAAAGAGAACCTTTTGGTTTTTTACCTTTTATTCGACGGTGACAAACGACCTTCCTCTTTTCCAAACCGAGACCGACGCTTAAACTTGGTGCCTTTTGTGTTTTTTGGCCTTTTTTCTTGCTGTTTGCTCGAAAACTTTGGCTTTGCTGTTTGGTTATTTTTGTTTTTTGCCTTGATTTTTCGTTTATATTTCTTCTTGGTTGCTCGTATATTTTTTGTGTCGTTCCTCTGTGGTTGTTGTGGTATTTATATAGCCCCCAGTCGGGGTTGTTTCCCCTATTTCCCGATTTATTCGGGCTTTGTGGCAGTTGTTGTTGGCAGAGAGTTTTGGGAATGGTCCAGTCCTGAATAGTTCCTGATTTTGTTGGTATTTGAGATCCAGAAAATCCCGGCCGGTTGGTCATCGAAAACTGGCCTAGGATTCTCGGGTGAATGCTTCTTGCGCGTGGTTCTCACGCGCCCTCTCGTGCGGTGCCAATACTAGGGTCCAAACCCTAGCTTTCTTCGATTTGGGCCGTTGATCCTTGTCCTGATCTAAGACTATGATGTGTGCGGCGCCCTTCCTTGATATAAACCCCTAGTTTGATTCGGGCTGCGTCAGGCCCTCTCCTCCTAATCGGGTTTGCTGGGTCAGGCTACCCGGTTGGGCTTCCTCATACCTATAAGTAAATAAAAATTAATATTATAATAATAATAAGCTTAATATATATTTAAAAAACTATATATTATATTTTCAAAATCATATAATATGTTTTCAAAATTATATAACAATATGTTTTTAAAAACTATACTATATATTTTCAAAAACTATATATTATATGTTTTTTTTTAAAAACTATATAATATGTTTTCAAAAACTATATATATTTTCAAAAATTATATATATATTATATATTTTTGAAATTATTATGTATAATATCATATATGCTATACAATGTAATAAAGATCCAGACGAAAATAAGTGTCTAGACATATTTAATTTGATATCTAAACGTTTCTTTGTTCAATAAGACAACTAAACTTGTCTGATTGGTTAAAAATTTAAAATTGGTACTTAAACTTGGTTTTTTGATCTATATTGATACTTGAGGTGGTAAATGATTGTTTGAATCATGAAATCACGTTTATATATCAATTTGAACCCAAAAGTTAAGTTCAAGTACCTAGTTGGACAGCAATAGCTTAGGTAGGAAATTGAAACTCGAGGCCAAATTCTGAACACAAAAGAAAACTTAAGTATGAAATTGAACCTGAAACCAAGTTTAGGTACCAAAATGTATATTTACCCAAATCAAAGAATAGTTTGACCGAAAAGGTATTACTATTAGTATTTCTCAAGTTTGGTATTATATAGCAATATGCAGTGGATTCATCCAAGACTCTAAGTCAATTGAAGGGGATACCTTCCCACTTCTTTCCCTGTATAGTTTGACACTCATTTAGTCTTTAATTTAGAAACTAAAAGAAAATAAAAGAAGAAGAAGATTACGGTGGCAACAAGGTAGGAAGAATGGAGCAAGAATTTTTATCTTATTTTTGCTCGTGATTTTTTTGGAATAGTATAAGATGGTTACAAGAAAGAGTATAATGGAACTAGGATGAAATTATGGGAGGTGCCAAGTTTCTTATCCTTTAAACTATCAAGTTTCTAAAAGGTAATTAAATCATAGAAGAAAAAAGAAGAAGAAGATTACGGTGGTAACAAGGTGGGAAGAATGGAGCAAGAATTATTATCTTATTTTTGCTTGTGATTGTTTTTGGAATAGTATGAGATGGTTACAAGAAAGAGCAGAATGGAACTAGGATGAAATTATGGGAGGTGCCAAGTTGCTTATCCTTTAAACTATCAAGTTTTTAAAAGGTAATTAAATCACAAAAAATAGAGGACTGAGACATAATTTCACTAATTTTAAAACTTTCATATCCAAAAATGTAATTAAATCAGAAAAGTTAGAGCAATACTTAATTTCTTTTAACTTTAAATATGATAATGTCTTAAAAAATAATTAAACCAGAAAATTTTGAAAAGGGTCGTGACTTAATTTTAATGGTTTTAAAACTTCTAAGAGCTTGAAATACAATTAAATCATAAAAGATGGGGTGGACCATGTCTTTCTTCTATCACTCGTGGTTACGTCACTGATTACAAGATAATATATATTTAATATTTTTTTAATCAATTAATAATGAACTCACACTCTATAAAATAGTTGCTCAAACATAAGACTTTTAAGGAGAATAATATTTTATTTTATCAATGGATTTACTTTATAAAAGAAAAAAACGAAATAATCTAAAATTTAATATGAGATTTAATGTCAATGAATTGAGGTGATATATTTTATTCTTACGTCATAAAATATTGACAGACAAAAGTCTGAAATACGTGGAAGTCTGAATGGGGATTAATTTCTTCCACAAGGAAGTTCCCATGAAGCACCCTCAAAACAAATATATATACCTCTCCTTTTACAAATATACGGGTAGAGTCCAAAGATCTCCGATTTTTAAAGTTAATTGAAAACCAAAGAAATTTCCAACTCCTTTCATTTTCCATTCACACCCTCTAATACTCCAGTCCAGTATGTCAACCTCCAACATCACCACCACCACCACCTTCCTCACACCATCTTCACATCCAAACCATATTTGCACTCACACCATGGAGCTCAACAGTAATCAGCTAGACTTTGAAGATCTCCTACTTCTACCCGATCAGCCTCAAACTTGTACGGGAACTGCCTCTATCACTTCTTGTCTTAAACCCTACACTACTCTTTCTCCAGTCAATGGTGGCTGCTGGGCCTGGGAGGTTCCAAGCAACCACGCATGTGTTGATTATATGTTGCCAACGTAAACGAATTTCCTTCCTTTTATCTAGTTTGATTTGTATATGTTGGTTTTCATTTGTAACGATTCTTCGTTATTTGGTTACTGATTCTGGTTTTTTAATTTGTAGAAATGAGGGTTATGTGCAGGCAATGGAGAGAGAGGATGTGGAGAAGTATAGAATCGCTTTCAGAATCAAATCTGGACTTGAGGTGATGGATGATGGGTACAAATGGAAAAAATATGGGAAGAAAAAGATTAAGAGTAACCCTTACCCAAGGTAATATGGGGTTCATGTAGATTTATTAACGATTCCCAGTTTCATAAGGTTCGAGTTTGAGCATGCATGTATTTCAGTTTCATCATCATCCATCATCATATGTCTATACTGGTATATTTACTGTTTGTTAATAATGGAGTGGCTAAGGATTATATTTATGCAGGCACTACTACAGGTGCTCAAGGGAAGAATGCAAGGTGAAGAAAAGGGTGGAAAGGGAAGGAGAAGATGGGGTGTTTGTGATAACAACATACGAGGGGAAGCATAACCATGAAAGCCCTGCAACTTCAGCTGCGGCGCTTGACATTTCTCGTACCCTTTAGATCTTTACTTCTCTAAGAGCTCACTGCACTTTACGATGCCATAAATTAATACATACTCTGCATCAACCCTAAGCTATATAACTGGAATATTGCTACATAAACTACTGCACTTGTTTCAAATATATCCATTACGTACTCTCTCTCTCTCTATATATATATACACACACACATATAATCTGATTGATTATTCTTAAATAATGTTAATTGTGTGATACTGCTCTATGTGCGTGTATATATATTCTTATTATTTTGTTTGGAAACTAGCAAGTGCAGCTGCTTACGGATCAAGTAGGGTTTAGTTAGGGTATTAAGCATGCTTGGTATTAGTATCACAAATGTTTTCTTAAGTTTTATTCTATACGACTCATTATTTGATAATAATAACGTTATCAAGTGTTGCATGTAATAATAAGATACATTATATTTCGAAAGAAAGAATATATTTAAATTTTAGAAAAAGATAATTTTAAGAGGAATAACCAATACATCAAATATGAAGCATAAAACATACATAAAAATTTTTAAAAAAAATTTCTTTCAAATGAGTAACTTACTTAATGTCACCTAATAATATATTATTTTATCCGCTTTGGTAAAAATTAAAGATTAAGTGTTTAAATTATATTAATTTTCTTTATTTTAAGTGGTTTTTTTACTAAAATTTATATTTAAAGAAATTGTTATATTTTAGTGGCGAGTTCTTCAAGTCTGCAACTTTTTTTATTCATCTCAATATTACAATCGAGATTGAAGTATTTTTGGGACTATTTTTTTAGAGCTGGGATATTAATTTCACTTTTGTATTGATGAATTTTCATAATCGAAGTATTTTTAAATAAATTATTGGGACTTAGGATTTTTTATTTCAATAAAAAAATGAAGAGGTATAAATCGAAATTGATACATATAATAATCGAGTTCTCAAAATCAACATGTTTGAGACTTATGATTGTTTGATTTCTCAAAAAATAAATAACTTTCAAAATATATCTCTTTATTTTTCTGTTTGTTTCCTTAAAAAATCGAAAATGATAGAGAAAGATATGAACAAATGTTACATGTCATGCTTTTATTTTTATTTTTAAAACATACGACATAGAAATGCTAATGAAATGAAAAATTAAATACATTTTTTATTTAAAAAAACACTTCATACACTCAGTTTTTTTTTAAATAATTTCAACAAAATATTTTGGTTAAACATTTATTTTGCTTTCAATTTGATACCCAATTTTAATTAATTTATTTATTTTATACTTTTATTAAAAATGTTAATTTTTGATGACATATTAACATAATATTATCTCATACGTCATTGATGATATTATAATTTAAAAATATTTAAAAATTCTTAGAAGAATATAAAACAATATAATATTAAATATAAAATAAGAATATATTAAAAACTAAACGATTAGCCTCAACAATTTCTCTCTATCAATTAGTCCACTTTTAAGCATTTTTGTTATATTTATTCAAATCTTTAATTTGTTCTTTATCTTATTCCGAGATAAATTTTATTTATTTATATTATAAGTTATAATATTTCACTCTCCATTTCACAAATTTCATTTATTAGATGGTGTCATAACCATTTTTTTTAGGTAAAACAATTAAAATATTATTTTAAAAACGATTATTACTTTATTTTGGAAAAATTGGTGATTTGGAATTAATTTGAAATTAAATTAAAATGAGTCGCCATCGACCTTTGGGTTAGGTAGGTCGAATACCTAAAACATTTTTTAAAACAATTTTAAGAAAAATCATTTTAAGACAAAAATGGTATGCGTTTACCAATGATTCGATTAAAAATGGTTTGGGAGTCAGTTACGCGTGGGGAAGGATAAGCACCCCCACAGCGCCCAAAATTGGTACTGTGTCGCTTACACGTTGTCGTAATGGTGGAAAGTATAAATCGAATATAAAGTTAAAATGTGATCCATTTATCAAACATTGATTAATTTGCTTCGAATTAACAATTTAAAGAAAATCCTTTAACTTGATAAAAAATCTTAAAATTTGCAATCCTCCGTAAGGAAAGCTATTTCAACCATTTTTCATCGTTAAAGAATATTCAATCATCGAATATGTAAGAGATGCATATCGAATATAAATTACAAATTGACAGTTACAAAAAATAAAATACATAATTTGCATTGTTCAGTGTAAAATAAAAATGAATTAACAATTAACAAACTAAAAATTGATTTATTTCAAGTTCCATTTAGTTCGAACGTCGTATTAGATTGTACCACTTTGATCAAGTGATACTTTCTACGCCCGTTCTATAAATAAGAGTTCCTGTAATATTTAGATAGTAATATAGTAAAGAATAAAATAAACAATAAATAAAAATAAAAATAATTATGAAATGAAATGAAATGAAATATAAATATAAATATAAATATATAAAAATAATACATCTATATAATAATATATATACACAAATAATAAGGTGCAAATGTAATTGACATATTTATTTGACTTATATATATACATACATACATATTTGATACATAATTAATATAAAATTCTTGATAAACATATTACAATGGAATATGTCTATACAATAAAGTATGCTATAAAGGACAAGAATAAAATCATGGAATCAATGGAGACTATAGTATCAACAAAAGAAACTAAACATATTTGCTTATTAAAAGGATCAAAATAATATTATTACTAACTTGAGTGATTAAACAATAATATTGACAAAGATCACGGTAATAATCAACACATTAAACAATGAAGGTACTAAAAGCATACATAAACCATGAATAATATGAGGGACTAAAATGATATGAAACAAAAAATCGTAATGACAATCAATAATTTTACCTAAAGGTAGCCATACCAAAACTGTGACCGAAATGTAAACAACATACATTAAAAACACTAATTATAAAGAAAGTAAGGTTACATTCAGTGATTGAAATGAAAGGCTTACAAATATTAAAACTAGAGTCAAACATAAATAGAAATAGTGTAATATATAATATAGTGACTTAAATATAAATGAGAAAGAATGAGTGCCCAAAACAAAACATTACAAATTTCATTTGATGGCTAAACAATAATTAAAAATAGAACAGAGCCCATATTGAAAATATTAAATAATACATGAACCGGAAATATAAATAACCCATAAATAATACTTAGGACTAAATCGCATTAAAATAGAAACATGAAGGCCGAATAATAATTAAACCAAAAGTAAAACAGTGACCAAAATGAAAGATTTACAAAAGTTGTTACCATAGTCAAACATTAACAAAAATGGAATAACATGTAATATGGTGACTGAAATATAAATGTTGAAATATGAGTGCTCAAAACAAAATAATTAAAGCTTCATTCCATGACAAAATAGCAATATTACAAGGATGAAGGGACCTAAAGTGTAGTTATCCCCTAACCTTAAAACACGCAGGCCTGGCCTCTTCAAACGGTGTCATTTTGACCATGGGTTATATACCCTATTTAGTGTTGAGAAACCCACTCATCTCACATTTCTCCCTTTCTCACCAGCAGACCCAAAAAGAAAAGAAAAGAGAGAGTTATGAACTCTCCCCGACCCAACAAAAGGCCGCTGCTCCACAACGTTTCCAGCGGTGATCGGCACTTAAAAAGACCACCCAAAAACCTCTCTTGCTTTTCTCTCTTCCTCTTTGTTCTAAAACCACTTAAAAACTTTGAAACCCTTGACCCCTTTTGAACCCTAAACTGAAGATGATGTTTACCTTCGAAACGTGAATATGGTGGCTCCGGTGAAGTGAAGGTGGTCGAATCCTTCCACAAGGTGAGTTTTTTTCTTTTTATGATTCTAATCTCTCTGATTTTTTTTACCCAAATCTCTTTTTTTTAAAACCCTTACCGAATGGGTTCCCATCTCCCTACTTCCTTTTTTATCTGGTTCGTATCGATTTTTCCCCCTCTTGCATACGATAGATCTCTTCTTTTATACCGAGAAGATTGATGGATTTGTGCTTAGTTTGTAGGGAAATAATACCATAGGTTCTAGGATAAGATTTGTTCTGACTTGGTGTGATATTTTATTTCTATCAATGTGGATAGTTTTTTTACAGAAACTGGTCACTGTTGGTGCAGGGAAGGACGGCGACGGCAATGGGACATCTCGGCTTGAACGGCTCGGCGGCTGGGAAGTTGAAGAGGTGGCGTAGTTGTTGAACTAGGGGATTAGGGTTAAAACCCTAATCTATTTTAGGGTTTGAAACCCTAAGTTTTAAGTCGGGTATGGGCTCCAGCTGAGTTGGCTCAGTTTGTTGGGCGGTTCACTGCTGTTGGGTTGTATTTTTGGGCTCCAGTACTGGGCTTTGGTCACATGTTGGGCTTCGGGTGGACTGGGTCTTGGGTGAGATTGTATTTGGGCTCCATTTTCAAGCCTGCAAAATATGTAAAATATATGTAAATTAAAAATAATATTAATAATAAAATAAAATAAAAAAGACCCGGATAAAAACGGGTGTCAACAGCTGCCCCTCTTTGCATATTCTTGTGTTAACAAGAATAAGACAAAGATGACAACACAACACGTTTTTGTATGGTTCTCTTTCTTTTGTGGTTAGAAGTTGGATAATATTGATTGTTGGGGACGACACGACTCATATGCGATGAAGAGGTCTGGTCATCTAAGGGTGACTCAGCTCCTACGTGATGAAGAGATCTGGTCATCTTTAGGAAGGGTGATAACTCGGTTCCTACGCTATGAGGACTACTGATTATCTAGGGGTGACACGGCTCCTACGTGATGAAGAGATCTGGTCGGTGGATGACACGGCTCATACGTGATGAAGAGTTCTGGTCATCTTTAGGAAGGGCGATAACACGGTTCCTACGTGATGAGGATGGTTGATTATCTATGGTTGACATGGCTCATACGTGATGAAGAGATCTGGTCAGGGGATGACACGGTTCCTACGTGATAAGGAAGGCTGGCTATCTATAGTGATTATGGTTTCAAGGGAAACCGACTCAAAGATTTATTTCAAGAAAAACATACTCAAAGATTTTGTTTGTTTTTTTTCAAGGGAAACAAACTCAAAGGTGGTAAATTTTGTTTCCAAAGAAACATATTCAATGATTTTTTCAAAAGACATCGTCATAAGAGACAAAACTTTGTTTTTTCAGAAAAT